GGATGCCTGGTGGGGAGATAAAAAGCCTTCCTTCTGGTTCCCTGTTGTGCACGAGAGGAGAAGCTATCACTTAGGTTTCATATATGAGAGACATATTCCCTGCCTCTTTTCTGTTTCTTCATCCTGGAAAGTTCCCCCCACCACCACCATGAGCAAATAATCGCATTCCTGAACCCCACTGATAATCCACAGCTTTTCTACTGTTGTTGCGACAACTGAAAAGGCCTCTCCCCAGCCCACTCACCTTCCTCTCTACCAGCAAAAGTACTAGGTGAGTAGGTGAGTTTCTCCCTCAGTGTTGCAGAGTGGTAAAGAGAAAGAGAGAGAGAGAGAGAGAACCTCTGACCCTTTTTCCTTTTTTACGCTAGGTCTGAGCATGAAAAGTGCGGAGCAGGTTCTCCTACAAACAGTGGAAAGGGGGAACTCCCTACTTTTGCTGATCTGCTTCTACACTGCAGATTCCATACCACTGAAATCTCTCTTCCAGCCAAGATGCTTGCTGGCTTTTAAGTAAATGCATCCAGAACACTTGAATGGATAACTTCTCTTTCGGACAGTGGAATCTATTACTTGGTCACACTTGGCTCTCCCCCCCCCCCTCAGCACCCGGGATCTTTTGATAGGAGGGTGGCTCAACCTCCATTTTCCTGTTCAACCCCCATCGCCAACAATAGCAAGAGGTACAGTATCTATGATCTCCTTGAGCTTATGGTGGGCACCATCAACGCGAAGGGCAACAAAAAAGGTGGAAGAAAATGAGAAGGTTGAAAGATCTGGAGCAAATGATTTATTTTTTGGAACCGGAAAGGAAAGCCAGGATGAGTTCAGGCAGCAGCAGCCACTGCTTCCACTCCTTCGCATACCGTGGCAGCACAGATGGGAAGGTGCCCAGATAAAATGATTTATTTCCCCTCTGGCAGTCTTTCTGTGTATTAGAAAGGTAGCTAGAGGGTACGTATGTCTTTGAGGAAAAACGCGACGATCTTCGCCGCCTCTTTCAGAGAGCCCTGCAGACCTGAGCGCACTTCCCTGGAGTACGGTAGTTCCTACAGGACTCATTGGGACTTGCTTAGGTCTGAGTAAACAAGGGCAGGATTACATGATGATTTCAAGTTTCAAAGGTACACCCTGACGGGGCCGGAGGTGGGACGAATGCGAAGCGTTATCTGCATTCAACACTGCGCACGGATTTCATGAAGGATGATCGCCCAGCCTCGCTTCTCTCTCTCTCGTAACTGACAAACTCCGATCCCCGACACCTCCTCGCATCTCATCCACGCACACAAACATCGGGAGAAGGGGGGAAGAAGCGGGGAATACGTAGGACATTTTGTTGGCACCGGCTGGGGAGGGAGAAACGTAGGTGTGTGAATGCAAAAAATGCAGCACCCTCTGTCCACACGCTCCCTGTGGCTTTTCTTCTTTTGAATGCAGCTTTGTTTGGCAACTGCAAAGCCTAGGTTGAATTCCGAAGACCAGCCTCTCCCCCCCCCAGCCACCCACTTCCCCCGTTTTAAGGGAGGGAAATCATTCCGCTGCAAGCAAAGAGGGGGGAAAGGCCAGGAGAAGCTGCAGGAAGACAACGTAATAAATAAGGCTGTTTCGTATATATTCCACCAGAGAAAGAGAGAGGGGAGAAGGCAGAAGGTATGGAAGAAGGGGGTGGGAGAGAAAGGTTTTCAACTCACCTTCAAGGGCAAAAATAGGGGTGATCCCTACTAATGTGTGCAACAATCCTAGGAAGAGCAGCAGGGCCCCCGTCATTTCTACCCTGTGGGCCGGCATGCTTGTGCAAAAAAAATAAAAACCAGCTCTCTAGACGGTCCACAGGCCAGCCGTGCAGCAAGAGCTCCTTCTTCTTCTGTCACCTCCTCTTCTTCGCTCTCTCCTTCCTAGGGTCTTCAAGGCTTCCACCATCCACTAAAAGGAGGAAAAGGGGAGGAAAAGCCGTCTCGCCGCCCTCCTCCTCCTCTCTCTCCCTCCCAGCCCAGGCAGATGAGAGAACCCAGCAGCCGTAAAGGCTGGGGAGGGGAGAGAGAGGAGGGGGTTCAGCCCTCCCTTGCAAGAGAAGGAGGTTGCATGCAGGGGGGAAAAATAATTACGGGGCGCTACCAGGAACACTACCCCTCGTGCACGAAATTAAAAGCAAGGCAAGGTGCTTGGAAGGCTCGGCCAAGGTTCCCAAGAACGATGCATGAAGGGAAAGAGCGGGGGAGAAAAAGAAAGGGAGGGAGAGGAGGAGGGAGAAAAGAAAGAAGGGGTCCTCTCTGGATCAGCAAAGAGAGGGGGGCAGCTCGGCTCGGCTCCCCCTCTGCCCTTCCAAGCCCCTCCTCGGTGGCGCAGAGGTTGAGGATGCGTTGCCTGCACGAGGGGCGCCTACTCCTGCTGCCGGACGCAGGAAAAAGCAACCCCTGCCTAGCTAGCGCACCCGAAGCCTCAGCCGCCTGATGGAGCTCGCGCCGCCTCCTGCCTGCCTGACGTCATGGGCTCCCAGGGAAAAGCAGGGGAGGGCGCCGCAAACGGGACGGGGGCTACGCGGCAATGGGCTCAGAGCGCATGCGCGCCCGACTCCCCTCCTGCTGCTGCTGGAATGGAAGAAAACGGTCTCTCCACCCCACCCCACCCGTTTTCTCGTGCTCGCTCTCGTATTTTAAACTTCTCGAAGCAGCCATCGTCTCATGGGGGAAGCGAGTGAAGGGTGCAACGCACACCTAGTGGGCAAGGCATTTTTAAAGACGGCACTCCCACCCCGCGCCCAAAAGAAAGCCTCCCTTGCGCGGAGGAGGGGGGGGGAACCTGGAAGAAGCCACAACCACTGCTGCGCCCTCGTCTTGATGGAAGTGGCAAATCTTATTTTTCCTTTTTCTTTACCTCAACCCTAAGCAAAAAGCCCCACAGAAATCTCAGGGCGTGCAGTGCCACGGCTCCTGTTGCACAAAGGGAAATGCGCTGGTCGCCAGGGTCTTAATTCCAATACGTAGCGGCAGCTTCCCCCCCCCGCACCCTTCGGTATTGCAAGCCGCTCCTCCTCCTCCTCACCCACCTCCAGCCGCCACCGCCCCTCGCCCATTCCAAAAAGGGGTTACCTGCCCGTGTGAATGGGGATGGGGGGGGGAACCGAGGGCCCGCCCCTTCTCTATGAACACACAATGGTGGCCCCCTTTCTCCCCCCCCCTCCGCGCGCGCACACACACTGCAAGCAACCTTTTGCAAAGGGGCGTGTGCGTTTGTGTCGGTGTGTAAGATGCCAGCCCTCGCTAGCGGGGGCGCGCGGGGTGGGCTGTGGCAAGAAGGTACGTGCGTGCAATTTAAATTCATAATCGATCGACGGAACGAATGGGGCCGAAGCGTGAGAGGGGCGATCCCTTCTGAAGGGTGAGAGACGCCATCCAGCCCGGGTGGAAATCCTCGCCTCCTCTGGCTTGGTGGCTGCTGGAAACGCCGCTATAGATCTCCGTATGGCCGGCCAGATGTTTTACAAAGGTCTTCCTTTTAAACATCACCGTCCTCACGTATACCTTTTCCCGTAGGTGCCAAAGCTGCACGTGGAAATGAATAATCGGACCGCTCTTCCCCGCCCCCAGTAGTTGATGAGGCACTTTCCCATTACTTTTCCACCTCGTTTTTAAATGCCTTGCGATTTGTTTTTCTTCCTCACATATTATTACCGCATGGATGTGTAAAATACCTGGGGTCACCTGGGCTCTCATGAGGAAATAAAAGCTATATATCAGATTAGTTATTGGTGTTATTATTAGTGCACCTCCCCTGCATCATTGGAATAAGAGAAACAGGCTTTCTCACCACATTCATTTCCAAATCACATAAAGCAATGTACCCAGAATACATCAGCGTAGGATCATAAAAGTAACTCAAGATAAAATACTGCATTTAAAAAAAATTAGTTTGGGGGGTCTTAACACTTTCATTTAAAATGTTTCAGGGTTCAAGCTTGACCCTTCTCATTCTATGCACCCTAACCCCTGAACAAGGGTTAGTTGCTATAAGGCAATGGTACAAAGGAAATTGCCCCGCACCAAGTCAGACCCGTGATTCTATCTAGCTTAGTATTACCTAGCTTAGGGATAAGGCCCTGCCTGCCCCTGATGCGGCCACTGGATTGCATCATCCCTCACTATTGCCTCTGCTGCCCAGGTGGTAGTTGCAGACGAAGAATTTCTTCAGAGCCATACGTTCCCTGTGTGTGCAGCTCTCCTGGATGAAAGAAAGGGGTTCATCACCAATTCGAAAGTACTCCTTTATTATTATCATCAATATCATTATCATCGTGTGACATGTTTTTGAGTACAACACTGGATGCCGAAACCAAGTTAGATGTTCAAGTTGGGTTAAAACTGGAGGGCGCATAGCAGTAAATGTTTGTTTTAGATAAATAATTTGGTCTGTGTTCCAGTCCGAGAAACGAAAGGGAATGTACTCTCTTTGACCTGCTGTGGCTTTGAAGTGAAATGATACTGTGTCTTCAGATGACAAGTTAGAAAAGGTGTTGTTTTCCTACGGCTGTGTGCTATTAAAAAGCAAAAGGCAAAGCAAAAGCATAATGTGCTGCTTATATACCACCCCATAGTGCTTAAAGCACTCTCCGGATATTTTACAAGTTAATTATGGAGGCTACACATTGCCTGCCCCCAAGTTCCATATTCAATTTACCAGCCTTGGAATTATGAAAGACTAAGTGAACCTCAAACCGGCTTTGTGAGCATAGTTTTGGCTGCAGTACTGCAGTTTAACCACAGTGCCACAAGGCTCACTGGAAAGGCCCAAATCAAAGGATTTTACTGCCTGAAACACAAGATCATATGGCATCTGATCCCCCAACCCTGTAACCCTGGCAAGGGGGTACAGTGCTCAAGGCCCCTCCTTTCCATGGAATATGATTTATCACTGATACAGAAGAAAACTTGTGAGTTTTAACAATATCACAAGACTGTGTGTTCTTTTTGTTGCAGCAGACTAACAGAACTGCCCTTTGGAAAACAGTGAAGTTATTTTGGCAATTGTGTTAGAAAATCCAATAAATATTTCTTCTTCTTGACTGTAAAAATACAATACTGAATAAATAATATGTACACTAACAATTTCTGCCTTTTTATGATACTCTCACTCTGTTGCCCAAGGTAGCTAGCTGCCTTACTCTGCATAATAGTAGGGCTGGTAGTCATTTTACTTTCCATTTAAGGCACCTAAAACCACACTGCTATGAAGGTGCCACTCCCAGCTTGCTCTAGCCCTTCAAAATCTTTCCCTCCAATTACACACAAAGATTTTTAGTACTTTGAGCTCCTTAGAGGAAAAAGAGTCTATAAAATAGGAGACAAATAATTAGTGTGTAAAGCTTCCTTTCGAAATCCGTTTTATCAATATTGTTCATCTTGTACATTAAGAAGCACTGACACTTAAAAAAACATTTGATATACAGTAATTCGGCATGCACCAGTTTCTTGGATAAACCAAAAATCCTGATCTACCTTTAAAAGTTAGAAATTTATTTCATCATGAGACAGTGTAGTATGATGACTACGCTGCCCAGTTAGGATCTGAGGGTGCCAGAGTTCCAGGTTCTGTACAGCCATGCAACTCATTGGGTGACCATGATCCAGTCACTTTTCCTAAACCTAACCTACCGCACAGGGCTGTTGTGAAGGTAAAATGATGACCGGAGGAGAATAAGAGAACAACATTTCCTTGCAAGGAGAGCTACCTACCTTGATAGCTAGCTACCTTGATTGAGTGAGTGAGTGAGCTAGTGAGTGATTTGCTGGCAAGGGAAACCATCAAAGGACTTCTGGTACATATTCTCTGTGTAACTGGCAAATACACATTTTTAGAAGTTAACATTTCCAAAATGTATTATTCAACGGGGGAAAGCCAACTACCATCAGAATTGTCGAGCTGATTTTCTCTTTCCCCCACTTTTTTTTTTAATTTGAAGGAGTTGCTGCAGAAGTTCTGAGCCAGGGAGTGACTTATGCCAATTCCCTCTCTCTTAAAGAGTCTGCAATGGAAATTTTATTTTTCCGGGTACTTTGGGAACAGATACCAGAAGTCATCTGATAGGCTGTAGTCCAGAAAGCTTATGCCATAATACCTTCATGACTGTTAAGGGAGATGAAAGACATTGTCTCCCTGTCTTTGATGTATGTAGAGCCTCCCTGCCTTTTCTCCAAAAAGAAGAGCTCAGCTTCAGAAGTTGAGAGACAGCATCTAGGTCAGGGTTGCCACTCCCAGCCACAACTTCCCTGGCCTGACCAGAATTTTAGCCTCTTCTTAGCCAGCTGTCAAAAAATGGAAGGCGCAACGCCCCACATCTCCAGAAATTCCAACTGAGTCATACTTGCAGTTTGCTGACATACTGACACATTGTATGAATGTGCGCTAGAAAGTGGCAGAAAGGTCACGGTTGCTGGTCTAGCACAAGTGTGTACATCTCCATGCTACGAAGGATTTTTCACTGTGAATAATAAGTAAAATCATTGGTTGTCATGTTTATCCCACCTTTCTTCCAGTCGGTTTGAGATGACATACCTTGTCACCCCTCTACCTTCATCATAACTCTGCAGACTGATTTATGCATGTGCTGAGAAAAACTAGTGGATACGTTCTGGACCAGCTCTTTTATAAACAAAAGGTTTGAACCTCTAATCAAGGTTCAGGAAATTAATTCTAGACCACAAGGAGCCACAGGAATATAGAGGCTAGAGAGTTAGACTGGAATTTAGGAGATCATCTTCTAGTCCCCACTGAGCCATAAAACACATCCCATTAACATGAGCTGGCTGGCACTCCCTTACTTACCGTCTCAGTCTGACAAAGGTTTGCTAGGACAGCAAAGCGTGGGAGGGAAGAACCATGAATACTGCCTTGAGTACATCAGAGGAAAGGCAGAATATAGTTGCAAAATAACAACAATAACAATAAATTGTGAATTGCAACTTAGTATTATACAATTCCACAGATAACAACCCCAGGCAAATCCTCTTCTCTTTGCAGGAACACAGATCAATTAAGAGAGAGAGAGAACGTCTGTGTATTTAAATATGATACCTAGAAGATATTCCTATCCACATTACCTCAGAAGTAAGTTCCATTGTTTTCATTGGGGCTGTGTTTATTTCTTATACGTAATGTACCTTAAGTCAATTCACATTTATGGTGACCTTTTCATATTATTTATGGGTTACATATGGGTCCTTTTCATTTATTGTGGCCCTTTTCATATTAGTTATGGGTTACATATACAGTAGGTCCTTTTAAAAGAGAAAGAATTCAATCTTTCTCCTTTAAAAGGACCTATATAGAGGCAGCAACAAAAACCATCCCAAAGAAAAGGAAATGCAAGAAAGCAAAGTGGCTGTCCAACGAGGCCTTACAAATAGCAGAAAAGAGAAGGGAA